GACAGGGTTTCTCTGTGTAGCTTTGCGCCTTTCCTGGAGCTCACTTGGTAGCCCAGGCTGGCCTCGAACTCACAGAGATCCGCCTGGCTCTGCCTCCCCAGTGCTGGGATTAAAGGCGTGCGCCACCACGCCCGGCTATATTTCAGTTTTTAATCATAGTATTTGCAGCATAAAATAGCTTTTTTGCATACATGCATGAAAAGGAGGTATGGTATGTATCTACAAGCCACTGTTGGTGTGACACCACATTTGCACACATCCCCTGGCTCAGTCCTGTACCCTTAACCTTTGGATGACTTTCAGGTGTTCAGTTTGAACTGTTGTTATTTAGGTGGTTAGTACCAGTAAATTCTTGTTATTAGGAGTTTCCTTTTCTCATTTCAGAAGGATTACTTATGAAACTATAGTTCTCTCTGGTGTGTACTTTTGTCTTTGGGTTTAGAAACAAGTCTCTTCTTGGTAGTCGAGTACTTGACTATTTACAGAAGACATCCTATCCAGCAGCTGAGTTTGGTGCTCTCTACAAAAGCAGACACAAAGCTGAATTTTCAATGTTTGGTTTTCTCTCTTCCCTCCTTTTCACTTTTTACTTCCTTAGTACCCACCAACAAGTACATGAAAATTACTTAACACTGAGATGCTTCATCTTTTTTCTTAGTAGATTCAGCTTTTGGAAAAAATAGTTGATAATAAAATTTGTTTCTTTTTTAATCTTTATTTGTTTCTTTAAAGCAGTTCTAAAGTCTGTTTCTTGTAGGTTAAGTGAATACTTCAGACAGCATCTTAGGAATTCAAAGAAAATATGTTACTGCAGATTTTTTTTCTGGTATACATTATTTGAAATAGTGATTTATGTTCACTTAAGTTTTCTAGATAAATACCTATTGTAAAATAATGTCTTCAGGAGACTCCTAATGCTATACTGTTATAACCCAAACCTTGGACTTAATTTATAGTTCTTTGTTGCTTTCTTATGACAGGTAAATATATGTTTTTTAACTGAAAGAGAAAACATTCCCTAAGGAGTAAATAGGGATCTCTAGTAGATGAAATAATATTTCTATAGCTTGTTCTTATGACCGCTAAGCAAGGAACAATGGTGACAGGTTAATTAAATTCTGAAATGGGATCCCTTTATGTTACCAAGATCAGGTTTATAGCTAAGAATACTTGAATTTTTTTAATCACAAATGGCACAGGAAAATTCAGCAATGAATCAAAAAAGCCTGCATTTGATTTCAAAGCCCCAATATATCAAACATAAAAGCATGGATCCTAAAGAGGCTTTAGCATGTCTGCTTCCATGGAGTCACTTAAAGTTTGGTGGGGAGAGCCCCAGAGAGGTGAACTGTCATTTCTGGGATCAGTTGGTGAAGAGCAGACCTCTTTAGCTCACTAAGTTGGCACACTGGTACAAAGAAGGAAACTTTACAAGACCGTCCACTGAATTTCTGTTTTAATTTTATGTCGGAAATGTTTTATGTAAGTTAAGTGAACATTGTCTTAGTACAGTGGTATATTTATATCATTTACCAATAATGTATAAATATGCATTTGTTAAGGATATATATTAACACTTTTAGTGATAGCCATGTGCAGTCAAATGCCAACAGATTGACCACAGGTCAAGGAACAGATCTTCATAAATGGTAGAAGTAACTGGACAAATGGGAGATCTAAGGCCGCCTTTAAAAAAGCATAGAGAAGGAGAAGGGTGATTGGGCAGGTAGACTGCTGCGGCACAGTGTTACATAACTTCCTGCTCAGCTTTCTCCAGCCAGATCTATGTGTATGCTGAGCAGTTTATACTGCACACAGAAATACAAAGGAAAGAGAAATTTAAGTATAGTTCAGTCTTGGCTTCATGAATGGCTAAGGCTTGTAATTACCATAAAACACCCCATAGAAATTACCTAGCATACGGACTTTCATATAAATTCCCTTAGTATTTTCTATAAAGCAAAGCTTGTCAAATAATCTGGAGTGTAACTTTTCTGTGTGTGTATCTGTCTTAATTGCTCTCTAGGAATCCCAGTCAGAACGTCCAGCCTACCATTGTTCTCTGATGCCATGCCAGCACCGACTCAACTGTTTTTTCCTCTCTTCCGTAACTGTGAACTGAGCAGAATCTATGGCACTGCATGTTACTGCCACCACAAACATCTCTGCTGTTCACCACCGTACATTCCTCAGAATCGTCTGAGATACACACCCCATCCAGCATATGCTACCTTTTGTAGACCAAGGGAGAACTGGTGGCAGTATACTCAAGGAAGGAGATATGCTTCTACACCTCAGAAATTTTACCTCACACCTCCACAAGTCAACAGCATCCTTAAAGCTAATGAATACAGCTTCAAAGTACCTGAATTTGACGGCAAAAATGTCAGTTCCATTCTTGGATTTGACAGCAATCAGCTGCCTGCAAATGCACCCATTGAGGACCGGAGAAGTGCAGCAACCTGCTTGCAGACCAGAGGGATGCTTTTAGGGGTTTTTGATGGTCATGCAGGTTGTGCTTGTTCCCAGGCAGTCAGTGAAAGACTCTTCTATTACATTGCTGTTTCCTTGTTACCCCATGAGACTTTGCTAGAGATTGAAAATGCAGTGGAGAGTGGTCGGGCACTATTGCCTATCCTTCAGTGGCATAAGCACCCCAATGATTACTTCAGTAAGGAGGCATCCAAATTGTATTTCAACAGCTTGAGGACTTACTGGCAAGAACTTATAGACCTCAATACTGGAGAATCAGCTGATATTGATGTTAAGGAGGCTTTAATTAATGCTTTCAAGAGACTTGATAATGACATTTCATTGGAGGCTCAAGTTGGTGATCCTAATTCTTTTCTAAATTATCTGGTGCTTCGGGTGGCATTTTCTGGGGCTACTGCTTGTGTGGCCCATGTAGATGGTGTTGACCTCCATGTGGCTAATACTGGCGATAGTAGAGCCATGCTGGGTGTGCAAGAAGAAGATGGCTCTTGGTCAGCAGTCACACTTTCTAATGACCACAATGCTCAGAATGAAAGAGAATTAGAACGTCTGAAATTGGAACACCCAAAGAATGAGGCCAAGAGTGTGGTGAAGCAGGATCGACTGCTTGGTTTGCTGATGCCTTTTAGGGCTTTTGGAGATGTAAAGTTCAAATGGAGCATTGACCTTCAAAAGAGAGTGATAGAGTCTGGCCCAGACCAGTTGAATGACAATGAATATACCAAGTTTATCCCTCCCAACTATCATACACCTCCTTATCTCACTGCTGAGCCAGAGGTAACTTACCACCGATTAAGGCCACAGGATAAATTCCTGGTGTTGGCAACCGATGGGTTGTGGGAGACGATGCATAGACAGGATGTGGTTAGGATTGTGGGTGAGTACTTAACTGGTATGCATCACCAACAGCCAATAGCTGTTGGTGGGTACAAGGTGACTCTGGGACAGATGCATGGCCTTTTAACAGAAAGGAGAGCAAAGATGTCATCCGTCTTTGAGGATCAGAATGCAGCAACCCATCTCATTCGCCATGCTGTAGGCAACAATGAGTTTGGAGCTGTTGATCATGAACGACTCTCTAAAATGCTTAGTCTTCCTGAAGAACTTGCTCGGATGTATAGAGATGACATTACAATCATTGTAGTTCAGTTCAATTCTCATGTTGTAGGAGCATATCAAAACCAGGAATAGTGAGTGATGTTATCCTGGCAGTTCTCCAGTTTGAAGGGCAGATTAATTTGAAAGAAACTAATACAGTAATATACCAGTGGGTCATCCTAAACACTTCCCATCTGATCCTCTAGCTAGTCCAGTATTCCAGATTGAGTGCAGCAGATAGCATCATGAGTGTCTCTTGTGTCCTATTGCCCCTCATGGTACCTGCACTTGAGGCACCTTGGTTCCTTATTGCAGGTGTCTTGTAACGGTGACTTACTAACCTAAGAATATGGAAATTGGCAGATAGGATCTTGAATAGGTCAAAAGCAAGGATCTTTCTGAGAGTAAAAGGCAAAACAAACAAACAAAAACCATCCCCATTTGCAGACTCCTTTCATCATAAGGATTCTAATGTACATGAGAACATTTACTATATGATTTTTAAAAACAGTCCATGTATTATTCACAAACATTTATTTTAGCCTGAAGTATTTTTCAGTAAGCCATAAATGACCATGAACCAAGAAATCTGATTTGTAAGTTTTCGTGACTGTGTGATAAAATATGCTTCCCAAATGGAAAGAAATCTAAACTGTCCTTCCTTCCTTACCCGTGATTTCCTCAGTGTAACTGAAATAATTGTTTTGCTACTCCTAAAAGACAATAAAGGTTCTTAGTTTTATTTATCCTTCTAGTGAATGTTAAATAAAGGAAAAATGTTTTTTCAGTTTGTATTGAGGGAAGCTTTATTTAGTTTGAAATAAAGATACTCAGAATGAAAAGAGACTGCTATGTTTAATTCTTGTCACCTATAGCTACCAGCATGTTACTGTTGTATAATCCCCAAAGTCTTGGCAAGCTGTGTGTGTGGTGGGTAAACAAACTGCTGTTGAGAAATCATACGTCTTTATTTATGATAGGAGTTTTCATGAATTTTGGAATTTTAGGGATAACATGTAATAAGTTTAAATGTCAACTCAAGTAATATTTTAATACTGTATTATGACAGTTTGAGGAAATTTTTGTCCCCACTTAGGTCAATTAAAATAATTTGGATTAAAATTATTAAATGCTTTAAATATATTGTATCTTGTAATATATGTGTTAAGATATATATATATGAGAAACTTTTAAATAGTAATCTGTGCATGCTGATACAGAACACTTAATAGCATCATGTATTTGCAGCAGTCTCCATAATTATATGCAGTCCTTTCTAATACTGTATCAGAGTACATGAAAATAAATATATTCAAATAGGCTATTTAGGAGTTGATTTGATATGCATCAAATGATACTTTTGTTCCTGCACTGATGGTGATCTGTGTACAGCTGTGCATATATTTTCATCACTTATTAACTATTAAACATAGCTATGACTTAGTTAAAATTCACAGTTTTTTTTATATGAAATGTGATTGTTGTATAATTAGTTGGGAATATAGGAGTCCTTTCAGAATTCTGTAGGATCTGAAGTTCATGTTCAAGGACTCCAGATTGTGATTCCTAAATCAGTATATAGCAGTATTGGCTGCAAAATTAGGTCCAAATGAAAGTAGACTCAGGAAGATTACAGCTCAGAACATCTTAGGATTTGTTTTCTGAAGTACTTTTTGGTTTTGTTTTTTAAAGTCAGCTTTTTAAATATCACTCTTTTATTTTGGATGGAGAAAGGCTATTACATATTCTAAATGTTTTTAGAGGCATCATCTTAGGATGAAAAATGTCCACTACAGTATGAAACCCCACTTTTAGTACTGTTTGGACTTGCTTTTTAATACCACCACTTGAGAGGTCTATGTTACATGTTGACAAATGTCGCAATATAATACAGCAAATATAAATACTGCTTTCTGTGCTCATGAAAATAAAGTGGGCCTTATTATCCAAGAAGTTTTGTCTACAGTCTGGAAGCAAACCTACATGTATAGAAGAGAAAATCCAATGTGGAAATGAAAATAACTGGGTATTCAAAAATCTTTAGGTACTGTTATTTAAAAGGAGTTGTGGTTTTTTGTAACTTGTCACCATGACATGATTCTAGAAGTAATGTCAGTTTGTGTATTCATGGATTTTAGTCTTTCAATTTTGTTTTATTTAAATTTTCTTACATGTATTCAATTCCTGTATTTATATTTAGTCGGTGCTCCATGTTACATGTAATATGCCCTGAACTAGTTAACAGGAATGGTGGTATGACACTTGGTTTGAATGCTGTCTATGGTTGGAGAAATGCCCACAGTGAATTAAAGCTTTATATCTGCTTTCTGAGAGGCCTGTGTGGGTTTTTAATAATAGTAGTATTTACTGTCTGCCTTCTATGGGTAGTAGGTTGTATTCAACTGTAGGAGCCAATAAATAGCATTTTAATTATTCAAGTCCAGTTATAATTTATATTCAATAAAATTAAAAGGCTTTTCATTTATAATATGAGATTTGGGTGTCAATATCCATTAGAGAACTTTCCCATTGTACCAGAAAGTGACTTCATGTTCCATTGTAGTTAACCCTTCTACACAAAATTTGTGCCCTGTATAAACAGAATAGTGCTACCTTTTTAGAACTTCGTGTAAATGAAGTTGTATACTCTTTAGTGTAGCTTTTTTTTTTTTAAAGATTATTTTATGTTAAATGTTTCATGGGCTGTTCCTTATTTGATGAGTAGCTATCCCATTGTAAAGATAGACTGCCTAATTGTTGAAGTAATTTCTTAATTTTGTCCATTCTCTTAACATTTTTAGTCCACACCAAGTCTCCCTCTAAGTCGATTTTTAGATGAATGGTTTCTTAGGAATACTGTTTGGCTAAGGTTCAGCTTTACCTTTACAAATACAAATACAGGTGAGTTTTATAGACCTTCATAACCTTAATGGGGAGGAGTCTGTTTTAATACCCTAGCTCTGAAAATAAAAGATGCGAAATTGTCTTGGTGAAAATTTGGAGAATGGTATTTGGGTATTAACCAAGCTTTTCACCATGATAATTTTGCATTTGTTGCAGTACTGGGGATTGAACCTAGGCCCTTGGGTAACATGTTAGTCAGGTGTTCTGTCACTGAGTCACACCTCTAGCCCTCCTTTTGCTTATTTGGTTAGTACTAACTTCACTATTTCATATGTACATACTCTACTCTGATTTTAACACAGGGTCCTCCTAAGTGGCCCAGGCATGATTTGAACTTTAAAATCTGTCCTATGTCCTAGCCTTGCAAATAGCTGGAGTAACAGGCCTGTATCATCAGGCCCAGTTCTGTTTTAGTAAACAAGGTTACCATTGTTTGGACAAGAGCTTCCCTTTTTACTAGGCAAACACATTTCTGAATTTGGTTTATTGTTAAGTTTGTCCTTAAGTATAGAAAGAAGGTCTTGGAAGTTGTATTTTTAAGCTGAATATTTATGACTCCTTTTCATAAATAACATTTGATATCATGAAATTCTTGCAAGTTGAATCTTGTTGAATTGGTGTGGTGCCCTAACCACTTGCAGGAAGAGCTAAGTGACAAGACAATGATATTGGAATGGACATTGTAGTCTGAAGGTCATTTCTTTTGTGTACAGAAATAATTTACTTTGAAAGCCAAACTGAATCCCACTAAACCCTACCTGTCCAGTTCTTAATACAGTTTACCTTGGGTGACATTCAACAATACACAGCATTGTTTTCTAAACAAGACTCATATTACAAATCTTCAAAGTAAATATATTAAGAATGATGTTCATGTAGTTAAAGTCTTGTGTGCTAGCCACTAATCATACAGTGCACACATTTTTAATAACCACACTATAGAGATGGAATTATTTAGCCAATATATAGGTTCATAATTTATGCACCTAATTGTTGCAGTACTTTTTGAACTGTCTATATCAACTTTCAGATCTTCCAGGGCAGCATCCATGGGTTATGTTTCTTTGAGTCAGCACAATATTGAATAAAGTTTGTTCATTTTATTTTACATTAGAAATTGTGCTGTGGGCTGTCTTTCTGTATGCTGTGAATATCTGTTGCTCTGATTGGTTGATAAGTAAAGCCTTTTGACCTATGGCAAGTCAGGTTATAGCTAGGTGGGAAACAGAGAGAGAGGAGGAGGGCAGAGACGCCAGCCACCACCAGGAGAAGCAAGATATGAAAATACCAGTAAACCATGGCAATGTGACAATTTACAGATTAATAGAAATGGGTCAAATTATAAGCTAGTTAGCAGGAAGCCTGCAATAGGCCATGCAATTGGTAATTAATATTAAGCCTCTGGATGATTATTTTATAAGTGGCTGTGGGACCTCGGGCCGAGCAAAACTGGAGAAAACTTCTGGCTACAAAATTGTACAACCAAAAAGCCTATGTGGACTTCAAGAATATATCTTGCTTTTCTCTATTAGAAGACAATGCAATCAGGTGCAGGAGAATTAGTTTATTCTTGTAACAGTCATTTGATTTTGCAGTTAACAGCCAAGATTTCTAAAATGTTAACTAAAAGACTTGCTGCAAAGACCTACTGTTTGAAGAGCCAGTGTACAAATTAACCCCTTTGCAGCCCCCACCCCTCCTCCTATTCCTAGGGAGATGGCTTCCTAAACTGGGAAGAACCCAAAGGATTCAGTTATATAAACAAGTCACTTGGACCCAAAACATCAATTCCAGCACACTCTCCTCTCCAGTAAAGTTTCACCACAGGGTCCTCTCACCCAGCCCTTGATCCTCAAAAGTGTCCTGAGTGCACCATGTGAGAGGTGTTCAGAGAAGACCCCCTCCCCACCAATAACCACCACTACTTTTGGGAAGTATCTGACACCTAGCCCTCAAAGGGTTTTCTCACCTTAATTTACCATATTGCTACCTAAAGGTTAAGCCTTGATCATTCTCTTTTAAGTCTTACCCATGTCACTGACTTTATATGCAGCTCTCAGTCCACCAAATGGTGTCTAATTCGCTGTCATACTGGAAGTTAGTGAATATATTCTGCCCTGAGAAACCTAAAAACCCTAGGCACTCACAACAAACCAGATGGCATTGAGTCGAATAGCCAACGATTTTCATCTCATTAACAGTGATTAATGAAGTTATCTTCTTAGAGGACAGGAACTGATTGGCTGGTAGTGTTGAAGAGCCCAGCCTTGTGGCAAGAATGCTAGAAGAATGGGAAACATGACAAGAGACCTAAAGAGGAGAAATTGAGGGAGAATGTTAAAGTAGTGATTAGAGGCTGCAAGGGCCAGGGAGCATCAGCTCCTCTGATACCTTGGACCTGTGGCAGCAGTGAAACATAGCAGAAGAAAGACAGCAGCGTGCCCAGCATTGAGGAGGAAGGGATGATAAAGCACTCTTTGAAGCTCTCATAAGCGATGTCTGTGCTTTATGCTATAGCAGCAACAGTTGAACAGTTGTTAGCATGGCCATTCTGCCTTGGTCTGTTAGGTAAGAAGGAAAAAGGGAAGTGTCTGAAGCTGGCCATATGGAAGTGAGTTGAGTGCCCAGATGGACAGTTTTCCCAAAAGAACTTTGCTCCGAGTTTTCTCACTGCAAACGAGAGTAGGTTAGACAGCCTAATTTAACTTGAGAAGAACAGAGACGGGATAATTAAGGCCTTGATGTGAGGAAAAACAGCTGTGAGACTGAGCAGACCAGAGAACACAGGCCATGCTGTCTGAGGTCATGTCTGGGTGTCTGCTGATCAAGGGTGCTAAGATAGCATCAGGACTAAAAAGTGCATTGACCCAGCCCTGGCATCACAGTAACCACAGCTGTTTCTTGAGCACTTGCTATATGGCAGACCCTCAGAGAAGTGCTGATGATGTGTTTTTATTTAACCCTAGTGCCAGTTAGTCTGTGGCCCCATAACCCCCTCTCATTGTCTCTGCCTGGTCTCTTTTCCAGGGATCCAACTTGACAAGCTATACCCTCAGGTCTTATTTGTGTCCCAGTGCCATTTTTGGTTCAACAGATAATAACCAGCAGCTAATCAGAGAGAGAGAGTGGGATGTTGATGGGATGTTTCTTCCTCTTTTTCTGCTAGCTAGGGGCTGCAGAGAAAGCTAGATCCATTTTCTAGGATTCCAGGTCTCTCTAGGATCAAGTAATATTCTTTTCTGCCTTTGGAATGGAATTTCCTAGTCCTGTTAGTTTCTGCATGCCCCATCAACCTTTGTTCCCTCACCATTGCTCAAACCTCTGTAAAAACCCATTTGAACCATTAGGGTAAAGTTGGTTTTGTGCCAAGATCTAAACAGTGTCATCTTTAAGGTGAATTTAGGTACTATATTCCCTACAAGCACATAAGACTAGATAACTCAGTATTACACACCACACAAACTTACATCTGTGTTTCAAAGACTGCATGTTTCATCACCACACTGCCAAGCCTTTCCCTGTATCGAGAATGATTCCCTCAGTATCAGAAAGGTCCAAGGAATGGCTACTAAGCAAGTCCTTGAGAAGCAAGTGCAAAAATCCACACAGGAAGAAGCAAAGACTGAGGTAGCCCAGCAGTTAGTACAGTGTATAGGGAATGGAGCCACCCACAAATAGTGGAGTGTGCCTGAGAATATACACTAAATTGTGGCTGTATAAATTTGAACCAGAGGTGTCTGTCACTCAGTAATGTATTGCAGTGTCCAAGTATTGAGCTCCAAGTTCTCCATTTCATTTGGTGAAATGTATATAGGCAGTCACCTATAGACCAGGCACTAAGGCTAACTGGTTGAGGATAAAGGTGACTAAGACAAAAGGTCTGCCTTCAGGGAACTCACTTTATTTAGGAGGAAAATTACTCTTGTGTTTAAAGAATAATTACTTTTCTGTAGTTAAGAAATTGAAACAAGTACAAGTTCCAGTCGTAATCTAGAAAGAACTCTTTGCCAGTATGCTGCAGGGCCGAAGAAGGTGACTTCATTAGAGGGACTGATGCTTGAGCAGAAGTTTAAAGGTGACACAGGATTGTCAAGCAGGAGTGGATTGGCAGTGGGAACACAAGGGGGTGGAGGGAGGAACAGTGAGGAGAGGAAGCAGGGGAAACTGTGGCCAGGATGTAAAGTAAATAATTAAAAAAAAAAATCAGTGTTAGAAAGGTTCTAGCTAAAAGTAAAAATTCATCTAGCATGATTCCTATCTCAGTGAAATGGAAATTAATCCAGTTTCAAAGAGCATAACTAAGAGAAAGTTTTCCATGATAAGAAAAAACAATAAATCAATTAATGGCTGCCTACACTTTCAGCCATGGCCATGGTAGTAGGGAGTAAGACTGAACAAGCTGGTTCAGCTTGCTGTAGTCAGCAGAG